GTGTTCCAAAGATGAATGAAGCAATCGATGATAAAATTAAAATTTTTGTTTCCACACATCCCTCACACAATTTTTTAAAATGTGTGAGCAACGTAAAGTCTTTAGGAAACCATATACTGTTGTCGTGTTGGAAAGCTTTTGCTGAAATCTCAAATCTGATTTGACAAATTTGTAAAAAAAAAAAACAAAACAAAAAAAAACATGAGAAGCTGTGTTTGTTTTATTGCTACAGTTCATTGAGGGACCCATGAATGCCAACATGTACTGTGCCATACTAAAGTAAAGCATGATCAGAATGCAGTATTCCAGCATGATAACAACTCCAAACATACCTCCAAGACAACCACTGCCTTGCTAAAGAAGCTGAGAGTGAAGGTGATGGACTGGCCAAGCATGTCTACAGACCTAAACCCTATTGAGCATCTGTGGGGCATCCTAAAACGGAAGGTGGAAGTGCACATGGTCTCTAACATGATGTTGTAATGAAGTATTGGAAGAGGACACCAGTGGCAACCTGTGAAGCTCTGCTGAACTCCTATAACCAAGAGGGTTAAGGCAGTGCTGGAAAATAATTGTGCCACACAAAACATTGACACTTTGGGCCCAATTTGGACATTTTCACTTAGGGGTGTACTCACTTTTGTTGCCAGCGGTTTAGACATTAATGGCTGTGTGTTGAGTTATTTTGAGGGGACAGCAAATTTACACTGTTACACAAGCTGTACACTCACTACTTTACATTGTAGCAAAGTGTCATTTCTTCAGTGTTGTCACATGAAAAGATATAATCAAATATTTAAAAAAATGTGAGGGGTGTACTCACTTTTGTGAGATACTGTAAATATAAACTAATAAAAAGTCTCATTCTTTGACTAATAAAAAATTTAATAGTAACCCCATATGCTAAAGATAAAGTTACAAACAAACAGCATAGAAGCCAAAACCAGCCAGATTCAGGTTTTATTCTGGCCCACAAATTACAACTATATTGAAGGCTGCAATTGAATTGAAAGATTATAAAAAAATACCTAGTCTCAATTGTACAACTGGGGCATAATAGAGCAATAAGCTCAGGACCATAAACTCTTTCTGTCAAATGGGCTAATGATGAGTAAGTCTTCATTAGCAAGCTAAAATTTGGATAAAATTCCAATTAAATCCAATTCAGTTCCAGGTTTTAACACAACACAATGTTGAGAAGTGTGGGGGTGGAGTAAGGGTGGGGGTTTAATTATGCAACACAGTGTGTGGGGAAGCCCATAATTTGGACGTGGGGGTGGGGTGGGAAGGATTTTAATGAATTACAGCCTTTTTTATACAGTACAATCAGAGTGGATCTTTCAGATAAATGCTGATAAATTAACACATTTAAGAGGTAGTATTAATGTGTTATTGTCTACTAAACTGATTTTTTTTGTCAAAAATCCAGTGCACTTGGCATAATGTAATGTAGCCTGTAATTTAAAATGAGTCTGATACTCCTACACTAGTACTTTCCTACTCTTGTTAGTGATATTTTATTTGAGGCTTGGTGTGAGCTTCGGTATCGACCAAATATACAATAGTTCAGTTTCTGACTGAAGATGAAGTCTACAGACATCAGCACTGTAGGACTGGTATAAGCTTGTCTCGATACTGTTCATCATAATAATGAGTGTGGGCAGCACAGTGGTATATGTCTGTCACTGATATGCCATTTTTGCTAAGCCAGCAGTGGGATTTTTTGCTCTGATTGAACAAATGAAATGTGGTTGGCAAGGTCTCCTCTATATCATGTCAAGATTTCTTCTGAGTATCAGAGTCTCAGCCACAGTGGAATGAATTTAATTGTAGTGAAGGCACAATAATCCAAATGAAAGAAAGCAAGTGGGTGTGGGTGTGGCAGCACAACTCTGAGTTTTGATAAAAATGAAGATGTACATGTCAGAATCCCCTCACAGAAAAATCACACATATTTCAGATATGATTGTGTAAATATCTGTGAAAGTGCAACCTGTGAATCCATGAAATGTGACAAACAAGTGACATCATGTGAGTAGTATGTGAACAATTAACATGTGATTAATTAGTCACATAAGAAAATCGCATGTACAAAATATAAACACATACAGTTGTCATATATCAAGGAGGTAACTTTGGACTTCAGTTCCCATCAGCCACTGCACTGCACTACATGTCACGTGACCACCTGCACCTGATTCACATTTGTTAATGAGCACACTTGTGTATATATATATAGCCATTGTCTGCACTGTTTCTCTGTCTTTTGTTTTAGTCTTAGCCTTCTGTATTCCATGTTACCATATTTCTTGATCTTGTTAGTTTATGTTTAGTTTTGCCACAGTAGTAGTGTCTTTGTTTTATTGTTTGTTTAATAAACTATTTAGAAAATTTGCGATTGCTTTGACAATAGTACACTAAATGTGAAAATAAATTAATCATGTGTAGAAAATATCATAAACATGGGCAAGTGTATCTAAAATGTATTATTAAGAGATGATCATAAATCAAATACTGTATAAGATTATTCAGCCTGTTTTAGATGCTTTTAATAATAAATAAATATATCCAGAAATGTGTTTGAAAATATTTGATTTACTGTAATATTTGAATAGGAGATAGATAGATAGATAGATAGATATACTTTATTGATCCCCTGAGGAAAATTGTTAAGAAGCTCATGTGGTTAATACCAGAAATACTAAATAAATTTGACTATGCTCAAGATATTTTTATTTGCTAACATATTTGTTGCAATGTGAAAAATTAACATGGAAAGTAAACAAACTGTGTGAAAATGAATTAATCATGTGAAATAAATCATATGTGAAACATAAAAATACATGCACATGTGAAGTGTCCATGCATGGAAACGAGTTAAACCTAACAGCAATTGTCTAAAAAACAACAACAACAACAAAAAACGTGCAAACGTCACATGAGCACCAATCACTGTGATTATTCATGTGAAGTTTGTGTGACTTTGCTGTTTGCCTTCATGGTTCATCCTATAGCTTGACACGTATGGACCCTGTATGTTACAGCAAATTAGCTACTTGGGTTGAGAAATAGTCCAATTAAATATCTCAGGAAACATCAGTCCTGACAAAAAATAAAATATGTGCTGTGGTTTCCAATCAGATACCTACCAGATTGAATAACATAGAAGCTATGTCTAATAAAGTGTACACCAGGGGCCCATGACATGTAGCCAGGTGTTCTATTTATTTATTTATTTACTTATTTGTTTGTTTGTTTGTATTTTTGTCATGGTGGAAATCACAACACACCATTACAAAAGTTTCATTTATTATGGAGTTCCTTTAGTTATTATGGGCATCATGGTGGCACAGAGGGTAATGTTGCTGCCTCACAGACAAAGATAGGTTCCATATACAAATTGTCACTGACCAGGATTTAGTGGTTACAGAAGACGAATTAATGACTGAAGTAGTTATTAGCCAGTTTGACTGGTAATTTGAATTACATGGCTTTCAACCTAAATTTTACAACAGAAAAGCTAGTAGCACTATATGCAGTGTCAACTCAACTTCAGTAGTCAAACATTACAATACACAGAAAAAAAACAAAAACATTATTGTACCCATTTGAGCACGGAGCCTAAGATTTGAATAGTTCATTGAATAAAGCTGTGATGAGGGATGTGTGGAAATTTCTTTGGACCAAACTCATTTCTTAATTGTAAAAAGTTTTAGAACTGTTGTTGTACACCGTGTTCAAAACAATAAAAAGCAATACAGCACCTGAAACACTTGTACCAACACCAGACGTTATCAGATACTGAGAATGTCCCACCACAGAAATAATATAGTACCTGGTGGTGCTGTGGTGTTTTCCATTAAAAGACAGGTTAGAGATGGCCTGATAAATTGTGTAGAGCAAGAGATGTAAGACAGACAGTAACTGTTAATGCCTTCTCAGCTGTCTAAACTCAGCGCTAATGCCATATCACTGAGACATGGTGTACCACCTTTGCTTTTACATGGTGTTTGGAAGGACTTCACCTGAATCCATGCCAACAGCCTCCCAGAAGAGGTAAACAATCAAAACAACACCAGCCTCCCTCATGCTGCACCTGCAGCTCATGATGAGCCACTGTTTCAGGTGCAGCTCGCCCTCCAGCTGTGCCCTTAACAAGCTCCGCTCTCTCTTTTGAAATAGAAGTACAAGGCTTCATAGTCACTATTTTTTTTTAAAATGAATCACGTCTCCCCTGTTCACTCCTGCAGATAAAATCGCATGCCGTTTTTCAACTATACAGGGAGGTAAACTACAGTAATATCAATACCATTTCTCTCACAGCTGCCCCGGCTGGAGCAAGATGAGTACAGGTGTTCCTGTCATGACTGTTCTCCGTCTCCACTCTGAGCTCTATGTAAGGACCTGCTGTTTCGACGCAGTATTGTACACACACTGGGGACGGCTGGAGTTTTGTCAGTGATGTGATTGTGTTGGTGGAGGCTCTTGAGTGGTGGCTCTTTAAAGGAAAATTCCACAATGAAACACATTAAATACACGTACATTGAAATCTTTCTATCCTCAGATATAAATTTTCAGGTGAGAAGGTAGACTTTGTGCACTGCAATGACATCATAGGGGTGCATTCCTAGCACAGTTACAATGGCATTTAATAGGTGAACAAATTTCAATGATGTCAGATGGTTAGGATTTCATGAAGTTCCAACGTCAGGTAGTGAAGACAGAATTGAACAGTTTAACATAGTTACACCAAGTTACAGCAGAGACTCAGCTAGTTAGCAAGCTGTGAGATGGCAAACACAATCGCATTGATGGTGGAATTTGCATAAAATTTGAAGCTATTATCTTTGAGCAGAATGTACAGATGAGGTAGTGAAAGAGTGCTTTACATCTTTGTCCCATTCCCGGGAGCAGAGCTGCCATGCAAGGTGCTAGCATGCCATTGGGAGTAACTTGGGGTTCAGTGTCTTGCCCAAGGGCACTTCGGCATGTGGAGTCATCCAGGCTGGGAATCGAACCACCAACCCTACGGTTAGTGGCCAATACACTCTACCAACTGCGCTACAGCCGCCCCAGATTAAAGGACCAAAGTGCTGCTGCATCACCCTCTTTAGGTAAAGATTATGCAAGTTATAAATCCAGATTGCGACAAGCATGATGATGAAAGAAGTTTGATTTTGAGCTGACTTTTCTTGTGCTTTTGGGTCAGTAGTGTGCGTCTTGGACTTCTGGCATGGAAACCTTCTGCATTTAGTACTGTGCTCACTGAAACCTCAGTGCCTGTTGCCACCAAGTCTTGCTGCAGGTCCTTTGCAGTCATTCAAATGTTTTTCACAACCTGCCTTAGGAATCTGCTTGCAACAATTGATAGCTTCCTTTTCTGCCCCATTCAGGTATTTCATATTTTTTCTTCCCCTAGCCAGTTCAGGTATTTCATGTGTTCCAGCTCAAGCACACCTGGTGCAACTAATGAAGCCCTTGTTTGGGCTTGCATATGTGTGCTGTTGTGAGGGATTCTATTCAGGGTGTTGAATAATTTTGAGACTGGAGAAGTCATTATAAGTTGCCTTTTCAGTTGAATTTGGGGAAACCACTTGAAGCATTCATTGCGTTGAACTATTTAAATTGCTTTTATTTGATTTGTTCATTGCAAACAACTGAAAGTCTGAATATTTTGAAAATAAACCTGATTTGCAATAGGGGTTGAATAATTTTGATTGCAATTGTAAATCTTGGCTAGCTGGCCAATCTTCAGCTCATCTGAACAGTGTAACAGCACTGACAAATATGTTTAGCTGCTCTCTAACATTGTATAAGCACCATCTTGAAAAAAAAAAAAATGTGGTGGCTGGTTATGTGTGTGCCAGGGGAAGCAGGTCAGTCAGTCAGTATGAAACTTGATAGTGAGAATTGGTTATGTCTAAAATCATAAAAAGGCCAAAATATTTCTTGTTATGTTTTTGTTTATATATTTTTGCCTATAGTCCTGGATCTGGACCCTTGTCCTGCCTATATTTAAAACATAAGCCCGTGCAGGGGAAAATCATTTATTCCCAGCTAACATAGTTATGTTGTAAAGACGTAACCGGACCGGACCATATTCATTTCAAATAACGTTCCAGCGATGTACCTTTGTGATTCCTGTATTCGGTGTGGCGAGGTTATAGTTGGACGTTGTTGGAACATACCGAGTATGTTCCAATGACCAAAATGGTACATTGTATAAAAGTAACTGGACCACACCATATTAATCACAGTGACATACCAAATTACGTTCCAGCCACATAACCTTGTGATTCCCATATTCATCGTGGAGACGTTATATCTTATAGTATGATGCTGGAACATAGCAATTACGTCCAAATGACCATGGTCGGGATCTGATAATTTAATCCTTTAAATCACAATTCAAGAATATATGAATGGCTGCTTACCTGTCTCCCATGACAATTCTTCAGCCTCAGCTCCACTTTTATTTTTAACAAATCTCAGTCCTTGGGTTAGAGGTGTATATGCAATTCCTGAGTCATTCCTTTATGGACAGCAAGCAAATTTGTTTACTTTGAAACCCATACCCTATTGGGTTTGAAAGACTGGCTATGAAAGACTGACTTTCATTCCCTGCCTTGTCGGGGTTTTGGGGTCGGGGTTTGAATCCCACCGTGTCCCTGTGTGTGCGGCATTTGCATGTTCTCCCTGTGCTGCGACGGGACATGCAAAAGACATGCATGATGATTGGCATGTCCAAAGTGTCTGTAATGTATGAATGGGTGTGTATGTGATTGTGCCCTGTGATGCATTGCCACCCGGTCCAGGGTGTGCCAGATGCTCCCTGGGATAGGCTCCAAGTTCCCCGTGACCCTGAAAAGAATAAGTGGTATAGAAGATGGATGAATGGTTTTGGTGAAAGCAATTAAAACAATCATAATGGTATTTGTTGCGGAATTTCTATTCGACCGTTCATCTCAAAATTTACCTATAAGACAGACCTGTGCCTTAAGCAAGACATTTTTAACATTTATTGATCAGCATTTTTACTTTTTTTTTTATTTTAAATACGAAGCCAGTACATAACCATTAAGCTAAATATGTATTTTGTAGATTACCATCAAAAAATTATTTTGTATCTTACCAACAAATTCTATTCTAGATATATATATATATATATATATATATATATATATATATATATATATATATATATATATATATATATATATATAAATAAAAAAAAAAAAAAAAAAAATTATTTTATTAAAAAAAAAATTTTTTTTTTTTTTTTTTTTTTTTTTTTTTTTTTTTTTTTTTTTTTAATTTTAAAAAAAATATTAGGGTAGATACCACACTTACAATTTTTTAAGGAGCACATGTGCTTCTAATTACAAAAACTAAAATGGAAGTAAAAATTTATCACAGATTTTACCTCAGGCCACCTCACAAGTCTCTTGTTCATGAGCAAATTAACAAAACAGGACATTTAATTATGAAATTATTCAGTGGCAAAACATCCAGCAAAATGGCTGGTTTTATTAGGGGAATCTGAGAAAATGCTAGTATAACTAGTGATTATCAGCTAAAATTAAAATTCAGTTGGATTCGACCGTGACCCTTTCAACTTGCCCAAGAACCTGTGTTCCATTAACATTGGCCATGTGGCCAGAAATCAGTTTTCTCGAGAATTATATGTACCTGATTTCGACGCAGAGGAAATAGACTAAGCAAAGCCTGGCATACGCTTGGTCTTATTTCAAGGCAGGATTTTTTGGAGAAATTAAAATCACAAGAACACCAATAAACATTATGTTTTTATGTGGACAGTTATGTACAAAGATTTATATTTTATTATATAATTGTATCTGGTAAACCGTAAGCTAGCTAGTCCTAGTTTGTTTGTAGCTAACACTGCTTCCACTTACTAATGTTATATATTTGTGAAGGTAAAACACAGCCAGAGACTGAATGAGACCCCTTTATTCATTATTACCCAAATATATAGCAATTTATTCATCAATGTGCAACATGAATAACACATGCCATGACATCATGAATACTACTGTGACATCATGTGCATACCCCCTATATTAGTCGATGTCACGTGATTGGGGGCGTGTTCTTGACCTTCTGAATATGTGCTTATGGGAAATTAAAGTTCCATTAGTTTGTAATTCAACACCTCTCTCTCTTGTGTGTTTATTATTCTCACCACACAAACCCAAAGTACAACATGGTGTCAGAAGATGCAAACTCCCCAGTCTTCCTGAAGGGAGTGAAGAGGATTTCTGACGTCAGTTATAAAAGCAAGCGAATGAAGCAGCACAGAGCAATAAACAGAAAAAAGCAGACTCTCTCTTTGATGCGGTGAGTGCTAAATCTAGAACGGAGCGATAGTGCAGGGGTAAAATAACAAAACACAAAAAATGTTAAAAAAATACAGAGTTGCACCATGTGTATGAGAGCACAAGGAAGATAAACATGGAGCAGTTCAAACCCCGTCACCCCTCCTGTTAAAAGGCAATATCAGTGAGACCTGTTGCTGTTGGGAGCAGTGGTTTGTGCTGTACATGACGGCAATTGGATCGAATGACAAAGATGAGAAGGTAAAGATCACAATTCCGCTTCAGGCAATTGGGGAAGAAGAATTGGAGGTACATAACACACTGCAAATAGAGTATGCCGATTGAAATGATCCTAACATAAAGGAAATCATTTAGAGAGTATTGCAGCCCCAAGAAAAATGTTGTTTTTGAGTACCACCAGTGTAAACATTGTGAATTTGTGGCAGCTGAAAATGATATGATCAGGGATATAATTGTTTTTAGTATACCAGACACAAGGCTGAAAGAGAGTCTACTTAGAGAAGCTGACTTATCTCTAGACAGAGCTATGGAAATATGCAGAGCAGCTGAGGTTGCAAAAACCCAGATACAGTCCATGGGCATACAAAATGATGCTGCTGTTTATGCTATCAAACACATAAAGAAAATGGATACCAAACAGGGGCAAACAGCTTAGGACAAAACACATGCCTGTGCAAAAAATGCAATTTTCAGAGCAGAACCTGTGCAAAAAATGCTACAAAATGCACCCGCTGTTATATATCAAGGAGGTAACTCTGGACTTCATTTCCCAGCAGCCACTGCACCATACTACATCATTGTCACATGACCACCTGCACCTGTATCACGTTTCTGTTTAACGCACACTCCTATATATAGCCACTGTTTGTACTGCTTCCTAATCTTACGTATTGTCTATCTTGACCTTTGTCATTGTACCATGTTTTGTTTTTTACTTTATGTTTAGCCTTAGCCACAGTATTTTAACTAGTTGTCTTAGTGTCTTTTTTTTGTTTCTTTGTTTATTGAACTGTTTGAAGATCTGCGCTTGCTTCCGTATCTACCTTTTAGCCGTGACAGAAGGTAAGACCTACAATGGAAGCAGCGGATCATCATGAAATACCTGGGCTTCACTCTGCCACCTATGTTTGCAGAGAACTACGCCACACCAACAGGAGGAGGAGTACCAAACTGCACTACATAAGCAGCAGGAGGACATGGAGGAGTCCAGGTACAAGTGGGAGTCTGTTAACTGGGCTAGTACCATCTCCCACCGTCCCTCCCTCCCCTATTATGGATCTAGTCCAGTGGACGGAGTCAGCGGAGAACGTAAGTCAGCCTCCCTGCTCCTCTGAGGACGCCACTCAGCCTTTCGGAACAGCTGAGCACGTCACTTAGCCACCCTGTTTGGCTGAAGAAATTGCTCCATCTCCCGACATACCCAAGTGCTCCCCTCTGTGGCTGTGCTTTCCTGCTCCGCTGAGGAACTCACCCTACTTTTCTGCACCGCTGAGGGCATCGATTGGCTGAGGACGGCACTCTACTTTCCTGTTCAGCTGAGGATGCCACTAAGCCTTCCTGCTCGGCTGAGGACATCGCTCTGCCTTCCTGCTCGGCTGAGGATGTCGCTCTGCCTTCCTGCTTGGCTGAGGACGTTGCTCTGCCTTCCTACTCAGCTGAGGACTTCGCTCTGCCTTCCTGCTCAGCTGAGGAATTCGCTCTGCCTTTCTGCTTC